AAAAAAAAAAAAAAAGCTACTGAAACCCCATCTCCTTAAGTTCCCACTGAAACAAGTTCCCTCAATTGTAAATCACATAACATAAATCACCATGAAAAAAGCAGCAGAAATAGCCCTATTACCAGTTAACATGAGAATCGAAGATTCAGGGAAGAGAAACTTGTTGACCAAAAGATGTCTCATGCATTTAGCATCATTAATGCATCCTTTCAGCTGGTGGTGGGAGTATCTACATGATATTCCGACGATCACAGCTTTTTTATGGCCGTTGGCGTTGGGCGGAGGTCCAGGGGGAGCATGCGAGTAAGGAGAAGGCGGGGCATGGCACATAGCGCATCGGATGGATTGGACTCCCGGCGGCAGCTGCAGCGGCGTGCGACAGTAGGAGCAATTGACTAGCATGAATATGTGACACAGTTGGAGAATTCGAGGGGCAGCCAAGGGTACAATCGGAATTCAATGAAGATGTTGTCGTGGTGGCGTGGGAGTATCCAATTTAGAACGAAACTAGTCGCCGAATGCAATTGATGATATATATATTCTACTCTAATATTTAAAAAAACACTAGTGTGCACGGTTTACTTTTATAGTAGGGTAAACATTTAGATTTGTATGATTGAAAAAATGTAAAATGCATGTATTGTAATAAGAAAAATGTAATTTATATATTATTAAATACATTTTTGTGCACAACAATATTTTTTTGTCTTTTGGTGCATCGTTTATCACCACAAATTATAGTACGATTCGAGATAGACTTAAATAAATCAATTAATTATTTAGCAGGATATAAAAATGATATTTTGTAAGTGTATGAAATCATAATTTATTTCGTAAGTTTATGCAATCGATTTCAAAGTTGTATTCTAGAGGATTAAACAAAACCCAAAATTTTAGGATGTTACAATCTGATTTTATTTTGAATTGCAAATTAATATTATCTGACTCTATTTTATGTTTTAAAAAAAGAAAAATCCGAACCAATGAAACTAATAGCCAAATGATAAGAAATTTTTAAATTTTAATTTTCAATTTGAAATTGTACCCGATTTCTATGCAATCTGATTTTTTTTTAATAAACATGATCTGTTGCAATTAGGTAAACATACATGTTATAGTATTTTGCCTAATTCGAAATTCTAGATTTTATGGTAAACATATTTTTTTTAATAAAAAAATGAGAGAAGTTTCACTTTTACAAAATTATCGTGCCGAATTTTACATATTTTAACCCAATTTCTATACAATCTAATTTTTTTAATAAATAATTAATCTATTCCAATTAGTAAAAGATATATGTAAAAGTATTTTATCTAAAATCACTATTTTATGGTAATCAGTTTTTTTTTAAAAAAAAAAAATAAAAAATGAGAAAATTTTTTGACTTTTGTAAAATTGTAAGCATCAGTCAAAATTTACCTAAATTAAATCCACAAAACCCATGAATTTAGTGTGCATATATCACTGATTGATTTTTTAGGATTAATTTTGAAAAAATTGTCAAAATAGAATGCAATAAATGTTGGTTGACTTTTCTTGTTACTATATTTGGGTTTTTTAGGTTGTCTCTTCATATATATAGAGATTAGCATTGAAATTAATAAACTTGTTATATATGTAGCAAAAGTAAATGGGTCTCAAAGAAAGTAAAAAATTATAAATTATTGAACACTTTTGTATACAACTTTTTCTGTTTGATTTGTTGGGGATTCATTGTCTCCCCACAGACTAATATTTTCAAATCATTTCAATTGGTGACACGGGAAACAACAACGTATAACTGTCCATGACTGGAAAACCTACATGCGATGAAAATTGTCATTGGCTCTTAGTAGTATATTTTTTTCATATGATTTCAATTTTATGTTTTAATTTTTACTCCAATGTCAGATTTTTTCGTATTATGATTATGATTTAATTTTCTTGTTATATTTTTTTTATTTTATTTCAGTTCGATTCTCAACAAGATGCAAAGTTAATTTTTGATCGAAAAATCGTCTTTTTACCTCGGCTTCTATACCAAAATTCGCGTTTCTTAGGTGAGATGTGAAAATTTGCTCCTGAAAAGTCAATTTTTGTTAATAATAATAATAAAAGAAAAACATATAATAATGTTTGCAGAAAAATGACAACGCTCCCTAGAATACATGAAAACATAGAATGAGAAGAAGTGATATAAAACTGTCTGAAGACATAGAATATTTCCTCAAGCTCTCTTCAACAACCTTAAACAACCTGGAATTTTAGTCATTCCCTGACAGCAGTGCTTCTGAAGATCCAAGGTTGCGGCCGCATCCACCAGAGTATACAGGTCGAATCCTAGATTATGTCCTCACATACCTACTTATGGCTCATAGTACAGATGCTCCACCACCAGTCAGAAAATGAAGCAGGAGAGTGAGGTGAGTTTCATTTGAAATAAGATTAAACATCTGTAGATTTGTGGATTTCGTTTGGAAGAAGATTAAACATCTGATTTCTTGTTTTGTATATATGCGAATAGGCTAACAACATTCAAATTTGACAATTCTATTTTAGACATTGTCAATATAAAATATATATTCTAAACAATGACGGTTGAATACCAGATCTGTATAAATACTCTAACATGTTATTGCCTTTTATTTTTTTCCATGAACATATTTTGGTGTTTCTGAGTTCAAACATTTGTGATGTCAGCTTGAAGGAATCTCAATAAAAGTACGAAAATGGCTCAAACCGATTAATCAAATCAAGTGCTATATATAAAATGTAAAAAATGGTATCTAATGTTTATAATTTTATTAGTTTTCGAGGTATGTGCAAATTGGCTTCACCAAAGTGAGTGGAAGAATGTGATGTACATTAATTTAGAGAATGCACCAGCTCAATGGTTATGAACAATCATAAAAGCAAGTTTCACCACACTTTGATTTTATGTTTAATATATTTTATAATTTAGTTCGATATTTAATACATGTATTTATAAACATTTTATTCATAAAACAAACTCATACACTTGGTAAGTTATATACATAAACAGAAACACAGTTGATTACAAATCCTTATGAAATTCAACATCTACAAATATATATATATATATATATATATATATATATTTCTTTATTTTATTCTTGCATGAAGATGTTTGGTAAGAATAAACCGGATGATAATGTAAATATATAAGATCTCTGGTGTGCTACAAAGAAATACGATTTGAACTTATTCATTTACATATAAGTTGATATTCATTATTCACTAAAATGTTTGCACAAGCAGAGTGATTTACAATACTAAATGTTTATATAAATTTATCCGAGACCTCTGTCATTATATTGGGCATTTATAAACATCACTCGACATATTCGTCTAAACAGAAACATCAAAGAATGTAGTGGTGTATACATAGAAATAATTAATCTATCTCATGCATCATATTAGTTTGTTTGATTTTTATTTTTCATTTATTACCTGTGTTGATGTTTTCTTTAGACATATCTCTTTTTGTGTACTTTTGTCTTCATTGCGATTTAATTGTTCATCATTTTGCATCTCTTTATGTTGTTGTGGTTGCACTTCAAAATCAGTTAGCAACGCTTGTGCAATACTCTAAATAATCTGAAAAAGACAAAGTAACAAAATTAATTTGTAGAAATATGTATGCAAGACGTATACGAAGGTGAAAAGAAAAAGACGTGTAAGTTGGTGAATGATGGGTTTTCGATAACAACTGACGACATTCAAAAGACTTGGCACACCAAGATAGTGTGGCCCTATATCATAAGAAATATATATACATGCAGTTGTTAAAGGTTGGATATCGACATATATTTTTTTTTTTTCCAAAACGATAGATATTATTATAGAAAAAATGCACAAATGTGTGAATATAAGCAGCACCTAGCTGAATGGAACAACCAACAGCTGAAAAAGTGGGAGGACATGTCAGAAAACCGCCTAGAATCCCGACGCTAGCAATGCTATAATAATAAAACTCGCAACTACACTAATCCAAGTACACAAATAAAAGCAGAAACAACTAAAAAAATCTCACCAGGATAATACTCGAGTGTCCGATCCCAACAAGATAATAAGTTGACAATCGGGCGCACTGAGGCCAAATGGCCCAAACAAAAAACACAAACCTAAATAACACAAACATAAGCACAGAAGGAGCAAACTAGACCTAATCTACCTACAAACAAAGCCCTTCCCTAGCGGGAAGCTAAACCCAGCACAAAACACCAGCAAATAAGGACTAATCATCCACGGCTTGACTCAAAATTCAGAACGCTACTCCTGCCACAACCTAATGCCTAGCAAAGGAAGAGTCTCAAACCTCGAACCACTTCAAGGACGAAATCGACCCAAGCCAGATGATTATCGACCAACCCCCCCACACACCAGTTACCCGAGACCCGGCCAACACCACTGGCCTAGATTCGGGCGTGTTGGGATCCCAAAACCACAACACCAGCGGCAATAGGGACCTGAGAGCGAGAATAGAACTTCCTAAGCCCCCGGCCGCCGCGGCTCAGACGAGACGAGCATCCAGGGCCGCACCCAACATCCCAACCACGTACATCTATCAGCAATCAGACCAAAATTGAGGAGAACCCTTTGAACCCGCTATCGACCTCTATGTTGTGACATGGCTGACCAAAGGACGCTGAGAATCCACCGTCGGGGCCGAGAATCAGACACAAATCGACATAGGAGCCGTCAAACTCGCCGTCAACAACCGTAAAGGGGCAGAGACGACCAAGGGTTGTCGAAAATCCACCGTCTAAGCTGTGAATACCTGAAGGGGGCGCAATTGGAGCGTGGCCGCACAACTACGGGCCATCCCCCGGCGAAGGGTACGACTACCCGCTGGGGAAAGCACGCATCGGCGAAGAACGGGCGAGAAGAGACTGGGCTAGGGTTTCGCTGCGAGAGAAAAAAAAAAGAGATTTGTGTATGATACCGACATATATCGATAAATAAGTAGATATCGACATATATTTATTTATTCGTTTTTATGATAATAAATATAAAATCTTTTATTCATTTGTAAGAGAAATTTTTCCCATAAAAATAAGAATAAATTTACGCTTTTAAGTATCATAAATAAATCCGAGAAGATATAGATGCACTAAAATCTCAATAACCAAACTTAGTAGATATCTTGTTGTTTGTGTAACAAACTCAATCTCTTTGTAAATGCGTTAGGATCCTTTACAATATTTTTCGGCGAAAGATTTTCTGCAAATAAATATGAAGTTTGTTACCAATGTACATCCCAAAAAAATCGGACTATATTGTGCAGATTGTTTAAAAAAAAAAAGGCTCAAAGATATCATGCCATTTACATTTTTTTTTCGTAAAAAAAAAATAAATAAATCAAACCTCTTATACAAAAATAGTTTATTTTAAGTAATGAA